GGAAGGAAGGAAGGAAGGAAGGAGCAGACCCACCCTCTGAGTCTGGGCGAGTGGAATGAAAAACGAGCAAGCTTTCCTCTCTGCTGGGGTATAAATCTTGCGCTCAGCCCTCGGAGACACATGCTCCCAATTATCCCAGAGATTTGATGATATCTTTCTGCAGCTGCATGGCCCTCCAGGGCTTGTTTGCCTTAGCAATCATGTTTATTTCTTTTTCCTTCTATTTTCGTTTCGGGAAAAGGGCCGGGGAGGTAATAAGCTGAATGAAAACAAACACAGTTGAGGAACAAAATCTATGCATGCCCCTTGGGTTGCATGCACAAGATTTGAGAGGGGGGTGTTGAAATGCACACACAGTCCCTTTTGCTATACAGGGACTCTTTGCTAAGGTGGGGGAGAGCATTCGGGGCAGACGGGATGCCCCACCACGGCCTCACATTCAAGGAGGTTCAGTTTTGCTTTTTTAAAAAGATGATCTTGGCACTTGGTCTGGGATGCCCCCCCACCCTCTGGTCCATGGCCCTCACCACTCCCCTGCCCCCTTCCAAGTGAAAGCAGAAGAAAAGCTCTTATTGAAGAGCTCACGGGGCACACAGCTGTTGCTGAGAAAAGTTACTTTTATAGGACCGCAGCTGCCAGAGTTTCCCAGCCAGCCACGCTTCCATCCTGGGGTGGATAGTCCAAGCTCTGCACCGAGTTCATCATTATTTCTTTCCAAACATCTTTCTTTCCTTGTGTCTGTGTGTGTCTGTTTGAGCGTTTATGTGTCTTATGGTTCATCATTATTTCTTTCCAAACATCTTTGTTTCCTTGTGTGTGTGTGTGTGTCTGTTTGAGCATTTATGTGTCTACGTGTGTTTTAAAATATTCTGGTTCTGGTACACTTCTCAATCACTCCCTGGCCTGTCCTTTAAAAACAAAAATAACAAAAGGGATACATCGACAGTGCAGTAAAAGAGCTCCAAGCCTTCTCTCCACCTCCCCTTTTCCCTTCCCTCCTTTACTTACTTCCCTTGACCTTTTTGTAAGGATTAAAGAGAGAGAGAAAGAAGAAACAGGAAACGCCTCTGCTCAAGCCCTTTTTCCAAAGGGAGGGGGAAGGCTGTCTCTTTCAAGCTTTGGTGAGTTGATTTGTTGATATACCTTTAAAAGAAAAGAAAGAAAGGGAACCAGCGCAGTGGCCATGAAGTGGCCACAGTGCCCAGAAACCCGACCCCTTTGCAAAGGAAATAAATTGACAACCATGTTCATGTAAGAAATGACCCCTTTACAAAGGAAATAAATTGACAACCATGTTCACGTAAGAAATTGAGCGATTCATCATCAGTATGAAATAAACAACCCCCTGAGCCGGAACGTGCGGGTGACGTTATACCAATCTGGCCAGTTTTCAGAACTTTTTGTAAATTCCTGAGCACACGACACACGGCCAAAATCGATTCATTTTCCTGGCCCGTGGTTCATCTGCGGTTTATTCTCTCGTCCCCGTGTAACAGCCACAGGGTTGCTTCCAGCCAGCACGTCTGCCTTCTGGTGTGGTACCCAGTTAGTGTAAAGGAGCCGTTGACCACATGGCAACCATTAGCCACCAATGTTACACATTTCCTATTTAGCTCTTTTAATGACGGCGACAATGATGGGTGTCATCAAGTCAATTTTGTCTTATGGTGACCTTTATTCAGGTTGATCCTGATCGAGAATACTCAGAAGTGATTTCCCATCTTCTTCTTTTGGGGCTGCCCTGGGGCTGTGCAGCTGGCCCAAGGCCATCCAGGCTGACTCTTCTACCAGGAGGCCCCGTGGCGGGGGGATTCGAATCCCCAACCTCTGGTTCTGTGGTCAGAGACCTAAACCACTGGGCTATCCAGCCAGCTCTAACTTATGGCAACCTTTCCCAGGGGTTGCTATGATGTGGTTACCCACTCCCTTCTTCTGAATGGACCGGGGCTGTGCAGCTGGCCCAAGGCCATCCAGGCTGACTCTTCTACCAGGAGGCCCCGTGGCGGGGGGATTCGAATCCCCAACCTCTGGTTCTGTGGTCAGAGACCTAAACCACTGGGCTATCCAGCCAGCTCTAACTTATGGCAACCTTTCCCAGGGGTTGCTATGATGTGGTTACCCACTCCCTTCTTCTGAATGGACCGGCATGCAGCTTCCCAGGGGTTGCTATGATGTGGTTACCCATTCCCTTCTTCTGAATGGACCGCCATGTAGCTGGCCCAAGGCCACCCAGGCTGGCTCTACGTGCAGGAGGCCCAGTGGGGATTTGAACTCCCAACCAAAACCCCTGAGCGATCCAGCCAGCTTCTGCTCTTTTGCACCTCTTTAAACTGACCCTCCGAGCATGCACTGACGTTGTCTCTCCACTAAACCTATTGCTGCCCTCCTCGATTTTAAGGCAGCTCCGTTTCGTCTGATAATTCTGCAAGGTGGAATGCTCAGGGACTAGGATCTGCACATCAACGCCAGGACCATTCTGACTTTCCTCTTGTTGAAATTTTGAGAACTGTACACATCCAGTGTTTCCCCTGGGCCTGTAAGCATTCGCGTACTCCATCGATTCGCTACGTTTAAAATTGGCAGTGTCTCCTGCACACTAAAACCGTTTCCCCTCCCTTCTTTAAGCAAAACATTGTATGACCCACATCGGTCATGAAACACCCAACAACCGCACATGGTTTTGCTTACATAACATGTCCGTTTTTATTTGGTACATGCTGAGCGTTCGAGAGAGAGGAATAACATGTCCGTTTTTATTTGGTACATGCCGAGCGTTCGAGAGAGAGAGAGAGGGTGAAAAAAACCACATTTGACTTGGGAACGACAGCAGATTTGCAGCCTGAAAGGAGATACGAAACAGCAGAACATTTGGCATCTGTAGCCAAGCTAAGCTTGACGTAACGGCAGGGCCTCGTGGGGCATTTTTAAAGGCTGCCTTGGCTCTCGCGCAGAGGGCAGCGTGACAGGCGGTCGGAGTTACGTCCGTGCTCGAAACACAGGCCCTCAAACATCTGCTAGTCATTGTCCTGCCTCGCCAAACTTTGATGAGACCCGAGGTACCCATTCTTGGTTCAGGGGAGGGAGAGGAGGGAGTCGATTTTCAAACACACAGCGGAGGGGCAGGATGCTTCTTAAGTGGAGCTGGAGACCTTGATTCTCCCAATGAATCCCTTCATTCATTACGAAACATGACATGAAAAACAACTTTCCTCTCCTGAAAACCCAAGAGCAAGGGTTCCCAACCTGGGGTGCCCAGATGTTCTTGGGCTAAAATTCCCAGAAGCCCTCGCCGCCAGCTGTGCTGGCGAGGATTCTTGGGAGTTGCAGTCCAAGAACATCTGGGGACCCAAAGTTGGGACGCACGGCCCTACACGAAGCCTCTATAGCAGTGGTCCCCAACCTTGGTCCTCCAGATGTTCTTGGACTTCAACTCCCAGAAATCCTGGCCAGCAGAGGTGGTGGTGAAGGCTTCTGGGAGTTGTAGCCCACGAACATCTGGAGGCCCCAAGGTTAGGGACCACTGCTCTGTAGATACAACCAGCACAGAACTTGGGAAAATGCCTTTTGTGGACTATGGCCCACAGAATCTCAGAACCAGCGTAACTACTGGACCTGCTGGCCAGGGGATACCAAGAGAGGTCATATTTAAAAAGAGAAACTTCTCCAGCTTTGACCAGTGGCCGCTCAAGACCTGCCCCATGTCACCTAACCACACGCTCATTCCCATGATCCCCGGTAAACTGTTGATTTATGGAAGACACCGTTGTCCAGAGCGGATGGGGCTTGTAACCATATGCAGAGGGCAAGGGTCTGTCCCAGCAGGAACGAATCTGTCCACACCCAACCGCAGAGGCTCCCAAACATCTGCATGGAGTTCTACTGTTCCTCAATCCAGTTTGGGTGACCCCCCACATGGTCCTGGGCTCAAGCCAGCCCTGGACAACTTTGAGAAGTTCCTGATGGGGCCTTAGCATTTAGACTGAGCTGCCCAGCACATCAAGCGACGATGGGTTCATGGGAACAATCACAGACCATACAGGAGATGCCCATTGCTTATGTTTGCTATCGGAGCAGCAACCCACCGAGGCGGCCCGAGGGAGAGTGTCATTGCCTCTCTCTGATCTACGGCTCTGAGCAAGCCAACTCGTTGGCCCCACTTAACCTGCGGGAGTGATGTCTTTTGTTCTTGGTTCCCTGCTGAAAACACGCTGGTCCCTTGCCCAGCTGTGGAGACGAGTGAGCGTTGTTAGGAAGCCGTGCATTGCCAGGTGGAACATGTCTTTGCGCCTGGAAGCGTGCGCTGGTTTCTTTGAACTCCAGCGGCCGGCAAGAGTTCGGTCCACCCCAGAGTGATGTTTCCAAAGAAAAGCTGTCTCCGGTTGAGGGCTTTTCCCTCTTCCTGTATGGAAGCATCACTAGGCATCACTGTTCTTGGGGACTGGCCAGATTCTGGGAGCAGTAACCCCAAAAAAATATTTCTGCAAAAGCCTTTGGAAAAAAAAATAATAATCAGTGTTGTCCTCCTTGTTTGACAAGGGGAGGCTTGGATGCTCTTCCAGCTCAGTGGGAAGAGGCAGGAACCTCCTCTTACGGTCGAGGTGTTTTGTTTTCACCCGGACTTTCTTTTTCGCCTCCCCAGTTCCAAGCCCCGAGGTGGGGATGATCCGGCTGGTGAACGGCTCCGGCCCCCACGAAGGCAGGGTGGAAGTTCTCCACGACCGACTCTGGGGCACCGTTTGTGACGACGGCTGGGACATGAAGGACGGGGACGTCGTGTGCCGGATGCTGGGCTTCCGAGGGGTTGAAGAGGTCCAGCGGATGGCTGCCTTCGGGCAAGGTAAGCAAAACCCAGCAGGATTTATGGCACTACAGAGAGGAGGCGGGTTGGGGAACGGTGAAGATGGGGGGGATGAAAGACCGACCCTGGTGAGGATGAAAGTTGGTGGTACAGCTACCTTCTGCAGAGGCGTGGGCAATGTCAAAGTACGTTGAGAGAGACGGACAGAGAGAATGAGAGAGAGGGAGAGTAAGAAAGGAAATTGGACAAACTGGAGGTCCCTGGAGAGCGTATGCAAGAGGAGAGCAGGCACTCACCCGTAACTGCACAAAGACACACAAACACACACACTGTGTAGTACAAGTCTTCCGTAGCATCTCAGTGGATGGGATGTCCAGGAGAGGTCTTGAACTCTCTTGGGCGGGGGGTGTGTGTCAGCTGCCCCTCATCCGACAGCTCAGGCGAATGACACTTGAATCCTCCTTTCATTGATTGCACTCACACGGGGAAATAGATCGCAATGCGGACCCCTTGGGCAGCCGTCCGATGAGATCAGTTTCCCAGCAATCACACGACGTAACGGGAACGGCGCTCCAGCCCTATCCCCATCCATCCCCACCCTGGCTCTTTTTATGCTTCCGCTGCGGGGGCTCCTCCTTTTCTGGGACTGGGCCGGAGCAATACCCCGGCGGACGGAAGGCTCACTGGAAGGGAGGCCATCCCCATTCAAGCAGCCCTTTCCGATCGGATCAGATAGGCATCCTTGCAGCCGCCCAAGGGCACCCTGACCAATTGCACCCTGAGCGCCTTTGGTTGCAAACATTTTAAGCCGACAAAGGCTGGAGGGAATGCAAAGGACCCGTGGAGATGCTGACCTTCCCTGTGGGGGATCACGGCCTCTTTGTGGGGGGTCTCCTGGTGGCCCGTAAATTGCAGACACGCTCCCATTCCAGTGGTTTAGGCATCTGGCCATGGAGCCAGAGGTTGGGAGTTCAGTTCCCCAGTGAGCCTCTTTGACAGAGGCTGGACTAGAAATCAGTGGTCCCCAACCTTGGGCCTCCAGATGGTCTTGGACCGCAACTCTCAGAAGCCTTCACCACCACCTCTGCTGGCCAGGATTTCTGGGAGTTGAAGTCCAAGAACATCTGGAGGCCCAAGGTTGGGGAACCACTGGACTAGATGATCCATGGGGTCCCTTCCAGCTCAGCCGTTCTAAGACGACGACGGTGAGGATGATGATTCAATCTATTTCTGCAACTTCAGAGCACTGGGAAATTCCCATTAACAGCTCAAGAGAACAGGAGCTGTCCGGGAGAAGGATTTATGACCTGGATCATTCTTCGGTTTCCATATGTAGCTGTCAGACAATGTAAAAAATCCTGTGTCTGTTTTGGGTCAAAAGACCCCAGAGTAGTTTTCATGACACGCAAGAGGAAGGGAGAACGTATCCGCCCCAAGTTGAATTTTTAGATCAGGTTTTGGAAAATTCACCCCGCTTGGTCTTTGGCTGGAGACTGGCTTTCCTTTGAAAGAGGCGCGTGGCTTGAGAGAAGCGTTCTTTGCTGTTCCCTTGGTAGACGCTGATTCCCCGTGTCATATCTAGACATTCTGGCCTCCCAGCTTGTCTGTTCTATTGATCCAACTTGGAAGCTTGGATCACAGTAGATTTCATAGGCGGGAAGAGGACAGGCAAGCAAGAGGGGAAGTGACCGCCGTCTTTGTTGAGCAGGCCTGTTTTTGGGTTCCCATCTGCCCAGGGAAGAGTTGTAGTTGTTGTTTAGTCATTACGTCATGTCCGACTCCTCGTGACCTCTTTATGGACCAGAGCACACCAGGCCTGTCTTCCAGTGCCTCCCAGAGTTTGGTCAAATTCATGTTGGTCGCTTTGGTGACCCTGTCCAGCCATAGCTGGAGGCAATATACTTGGATGGGACAGGTGGGTCCCTTCCTCCTCGAGCAGCTAATGGCAACAGGTGGCTTTGCTCACTTCCAGCAGTAGATCTTTGTGTCCTCTGAATTTTGGGTCAAACCACTAGCCGTCGCATCCTATTTATGACTCTGTTTATGCTGTTGTGAATTTCTGGTAAAATTTTCTTTTTGTACGTAGTAGAAGCGCAGAGATCCAGAGAGGAGAATAATAGTTTCAAGCCCACCAGCGTCCACCCCTTCCTCCATAACCGGCACTTCTTGAGACATTTGTAGGAAAAAAGAATTACAAAAATTTCTTTACTTACATCGGCTTGAAATTACAGTATGCTGCTTTCTTTACTGTACACATACGGACAACCAACGGAACAGATCCAAAGCAAAAAAAAAAGCCCCACTTGCCACCAACTGACAAAGAGAAGGACCAAAAAGTTAGCAGAGAAGCAGTACTGCCTTTGAATTCAAAAGCTGGAAGGAGCGATTGATTAGTGCTGGATAGACAATCCCCTCAGCCTAGGAAAGTCTTTCCTCCCCCCCCCCCATCACTCAAACTACAGGCAGCATGGTGAGGTTGCAAATAAAATTCCAACAGTTCTCATTCCTGGCCAAACATCTCGTGCAGATTTTTAAGGCGTTCTTAGGTAAAGGTTCCCCTTGACTTTGAGTCCAGTCGTGTCCGACTCTAGGGGACGGTGCTCATCCACGTTTCCTAGCCAGCATTTTGTCCAAAGACTGATTCCGTGGTCATGTGGCCAGCGCAACTAGACACGGAACGCCGTGACCTTCCCACCGAGGTGGTCCCTATTTATTTACTTGCCTTTTTACATGCTTTCGAACGGCTCAGTTGGCAGGAGCTGGAACAAGCAATGGGAGCTCACTCTGTCGCATGGGTTCGATCTTATGACAGCTGGTCTTCTGACCTTGCAGCCCAGAGGCTTCTGTGGTTTAACCCGCAGACCCACTACGTCCCTTAAGGCACTACCTTCCCACCGAGGTGGTCCCTATTTATTTACTTGCCTTTTTACATGCTTTCGAACGGCTCAGTTGGCAGGAGCTGGAACAAGCAATGGGAGCTCACTCTGTCGCATGGGTTCGATCTTATGACAGCTGGTCTTCTGACCTTGCAGCCCAGAGGCTTCTGTGGTTTAACCCGCAGACCCACTACGTCCCTTAAGGCACTATAACACTATAGGCTTCTGCGGTTTAACCCGCAGCCCCACTACGTCCCTTAAGGCACTGTAACACTATACAAATCCTGCTGGATCACAAGAAGAACGCTCGCCCATCTCCAGACAGTTCTTATCTGGTGTAGAGTAGCCCAGCCTTTTTCTGCCTGATTCACCTCCAGAGGTAATGGACCACAAAGCCCATCATGCCATACTGACTGGGGATGATGGGAGGCAGAACCAACACATCCAAAAGGCTAAAAGATTGGGCAAGACAGATAAAGACTGTATACATCAAATCTACACTTTTCCCATCATGCAAATTTTTCAAATGCCTGCTTCGTTTTGCACACGTTTTCTACACGAAGACACAGTGCAAACCTTAGAAAGAGATGCCGTTTCTCCTCTTGCTATTCTCAAGTCACATAAGACCAATATTTTCATAGGGAAAGGCAAACTCAGTAAATTCCCATCTCTGTCTGAGGGTAGCCAGAGCTTTGTCAGTCCTTATTGAGATAATCCAGATGTGGATCTCACAAACATATATCTGTTGCTTTGTTTTTATATTACTTAAGGAAGGGAGGGAGACACTGTGATTCCAGCATTCAGAACAATGCATACCAATGCCATGATTCTCAATGTTGGGGTGTGTGTGTGTGTGTGAGAGAGAGAGAGAGAGAGAGAGAGAGAGAGAGAGAGAGAGAGAGTTTCCAGTCTTTGTTTGACGTCTCCAGTTGAACGTGTAGCAATAAGTCCTGGTTTTCCTTGGAAGCTCGTTTTTGAGGCTGAGGGGTCGGGCCTGTGTGTATATTTGTGTGGTCGTGGGCCGCCCCTCCAGAGCCTCCTGCCTGGGATAGAGAAGCCGACTGAGGCATCACAAGAGGAAACGGACCGGAACCAAGCCAGACAAGCTGCGCCGAGTGATAAACACGACCACGAGGGGTGCCTCGGTGAAATCTAAGCTGCAACCGTGTGAGCACCATCTGGGAATTTTATCCCCTCTTTTTGAGCAGCTGGAGAGAGACAAGTGGGTCCTAGATCAAAGCAAGTCTGAATGATCTCCGGAGGCAAGAACAGTGAATGTTCTGGTATCTTTGTGATCCACCTGTGCAAATCTGTCTGTGGCTGTGATTTCTCCCAAGCCTAGCCTTTGATCGTTTGTTTTTGGTGTGTTTGTGGTCGTGCGGTCCCTCACGAATTAGTATTTTGAAGGAGCCAAGATTTTTATCTGGCTCTTAAATAACCTGGAGGTTCAGGGCGAGGAGGGAAGTAGTTAAATGTGCAGAAGATGCTAGATTACGGAAGACATTAGAACCAAGATGGATTGCAAAAAAGCAAACCTCCCAAAATATATCTTCAGCCAAAATGCAACAAAAAGGTCCCAGCTTTTGAGGTTTCCAGACATGTTCCCCAGGTAATCTGGCTCCAGGAGAGTCTCTCCGTCCAATAGGTCATTAAATAAGTGCAAGCGTTTGAATTTCCCAGTTGTTCCAAAAGGATCCCTCTAACCAGAAATGCAGCAAAAAAATATGCAGACCTTGGAATTTCCTAGAACTGCTCACCAGGTTTAGGTGGCTCAAAGAGCATCCGTGAGTACAGAAGAACTACACTACGTTGATGTCGACCATAAAGAAATTGAAATAATCAAAGATTTTTGTCTACCTTGGTTCAACCACCAGTCCAAAGGGAGATGGTGGCCAAGGAATCAGAAGGCGGTGGCGATCTGGAAGGGCAGCCATAAATGAATTCGGGGTGGTGGTGGTGGAAATCATCACAGGGATCATCCACAATATATTATTTCCTATCACCATGTATGGGTATGAAAGCTGGACAATCAAATGAAAAGCTGACAAGGGGGGGGAATGGATTTGTTTGGAATCTGGTGTTGGAGGAGAGCTTTGGGGGCACCCTGGATGGCCAGAAAGATGAACAAGTGGGTCCCGGATCAAATCAAGCCTGAATTCTTTCTCTCTGGAGGCAAATTGGTTGAAAAGGAGGCTGTCTAACTTTGGGCACATCCTGGGAAGGGAGGATTCCCCGGAGAGGACCAAAAACACTTGAGGCCCTCAAGCCATTCTCAACTTTTGTTTAGCCATAGCCATGAAAGAAATATAAGTCAGATTAGGACTGTATAATGATGCTTGTAAAATGGCGTGTGAAGAAGTGTTTCTAGACAAGGGGCTGAATATAAAAACTAGCCATAGCCATGAAAGAAATATAAGTCAAATTAGGATTGTATAACGATGCTTGTAAAATGGTGTGTGAAGAAGTGTTTCTAGACAGGGGGGTGAATATAAAAATGAATCCGGATATTCGTTAAATATCCCTGATTCGTCAGATATGTGTTGCTTCATATTCTTGAGGTTCAAAGAACGAATACGAAGCCATGAATATTGTATAACCCTTTTATATTTGCCCCCCCCTGGTCTTTCTATATCTGAGTGGGCATAGAAAGACAAGGGAAGGGGGACCCAAGCAATTCCCCCAGCCCTGCTGTCTTTGCAAAGATAGCAGGACAGAGATATTGCTTTGATCCCTGCCTTCCTATGTGGCCTAGGAAGGCTGCTTTTTTTTTAAAGGTAGCCACACGGGCTGTCTTAAAAAAGACCCTTCTGCAGACAGAGAGAGCCTTCATTCCCTTTAAAATGCTGGTTTCTACACTGATATGATCTGTGCGTTTCCTGCCATCTGTACAAGGAGACCCTTCTCTCATTTTCCTCTGTGCTTTTTGGGTGACTTTCTGTGCCTTTTTGTTCCTCCTAAAAGCACTCTTCATTCTTAATATCACTTTGCATAGAGTTTACAACTCCTGAGTCACAGTTAAGGGTTGCAGGGAGAATTAGCATCCTCCCCCCTCGCGCTAAGGAAGGAAGGAACGAAGGAGGAAAGGGGAAAGGAAGGAAGGAAGCAAGGAAGGAAGAAAAAGAGAAAAAGAAAAAGGAAGGAAGGAAGGAAAAGAAAGAAAGAAGGGAGGAGTGGAAGGAGAGATTGAGAAAGGAAGGAAGAGAGAGAGAGGAAGGAAGGAAAAGAAAGAAAGAAAGGAAGGAAGGAAGGAAGGAAGGAAGGGAGGAAGGAAGGAAGGAAGGAAGGGAGGAAGGAAGGAAGGAAGGAAGGGAGGAAGGAAGGAAGGAAGGAAGGGAGGAAGGAAGGAAGGAAGGAAGGGAGGAAGGAAGGAAGGAAGGAAGGGAGGAAGGAAGGAAGGAAGGAAGGGAGGAAGGAAGGAAGGAAGGAAGGGAGGAAGGAAGGAAGGAAGGAAGGGAGGAAGGAAGGAAGGAAGGAAGGGAGGAAGGAAGGAAGGAAGGAAGGGAGGAAGGAAGGAAGGAAGGAAGGGAGGAAGGAAGGAAGGAAGGAAGGGAGTTGTAGTCCCAAGACCATCTGGGTTTGGAAGTACTGGCCTAACTCTGTCTCCCAAGGTGGTAGGAGGATAAAACCAGGTCAGAAAACCACGAGTCCTGTCCTGAGTTAATTCAAGAAAAGGTGGTACTGTATTGAGTATAAGAAATGAATTAATCAATGCACTTATTTAAAAGAAACATTGCAACTGATTACGATCCAGAACCCGCTGGTCTTGGTGATGCCCCCACACCTGAATAAACTCCCTCCCAAGGGATGTCTGGCTGTCCCCTTCGCTACCCATTGAAAACAAGCCTAGAAAATCCATTCTCTCTGGCTTTCATGTTAGCTCAAAATACTTTGTAGGGTTTTCATTGTGACCCTCTGGCTTTCTCTGTCCTAAATTATTTTAAATTGGTTTGCCATGTTGAACTGCAGACAGAGTCATTAGCCTGCTGTTTTAATTTAAGCGTTTTATTTTATGACTTATTATTTGATGACATGAATGCGCTGCTGACCCATAACCAGAGAGGACTTACAATAATTCGATGGTAAATTCCACCGCTTTAAGTTTAGTTGTGTTCTAAGTTTTAACGTGCAGGCCAGGAGCTACGGCGACGGAGAAAGAGCAACTGCTTGAAGGTCACCCAAAGAGGTTTCGGGGCAGAGTAAGGATTTGAACCCAGGTCTTCTGACTTCTTGTCTCGAAGTCTCACCTCCAGACTCAACCCTGATCCAAGTTTCACCCTCGCCACTGTGAGAACGAGATGGCTGGACAAGGAGTTTCTGACAAGGAGGGCTCTTGGTCTGGCTTTGTATTCGCAACATGCCCCCAATTTTATTTCAATTTAAGCGAAGCTTTTTTTGCATCCCGTAAAAGGCTGCCTGTCTTTGCTTCCAGTTCACTGTGAATGTGCAAATCTTACTCTCTTCCTCAGGATCTCTGTTTTGATTTGATTCCGGCGTATTTGATCACCGGGATCAAACCAAAGCCGATGGCTTACTCTGACCCTTTTCTGAAGCCACCTAAGAATTGTTGCATTCATTTAAAATATTTTTATGCTGGCTTTGTCCTACAACAGATCCAACATTTAACTCTCCATCCTTGGGGGTTCTCTCTGACTTATAAACACTTTGCAGACACCTAAATGTGGCTCGCCTGGGAGATGGGCCTCAAGTGCTAGGCCTAGCTCGGCTCAGGCTTCCTGTTTCTGCCCCGGTGCAGGCTGGGAGTTTTCTTTCTGAACAGGAAGCTGGGTGGAACTAGGCCTAGCTCAGCCTCAAAGCTTTCTAGAGGAGGCTGTTTCGCCCCCCAGAAGAGGCACATTTAGGTGTTTGTGGCCTCTTTTTCTCAGATAGCAATCCCAGAATAGAGAATTAAGTGGAAATCCAAAAATCCCATCTCTAGCAGCCACTCACCACCTCTGGAAGAGCCTTGAGCATCCCTTTAACAGAGCAAACGCGTGTTCTAGGACAGATACTGTATGAAGTGAAGGTAGCCGAAGATAAGCGATACTGGTCATGCCGTGATGAAGATACACACACATCCCCAATTGAAATGGGCCCAAAGCCCAAGGCCCCCTTTGCAGGATGAATAGGTTAGAGATGATAGGTCAGGGATGATGGCCCATGGAAAATGTCCACACATGCACCAAAAAAGAGGAACTTCAGTGCAGCTAATTCTGTTGTTCTTGATAAATAACGGTGCAAGGAGACCCATTTTTTTATGATTGCGGGAATGAAAAGGAATGACTATAGCTATTTGTATTGAGTCCTCCCCCCCAAAAAAAGCTTTGGAATCTCCGAGCAAAAGAAAAGGATGGATTCTGGGGCCTTTTCCTCCTCAAAAATGTCTCCCGAAGCCAAGACCTCCGCCTCTATTCTGTTCTTGCAGGGAAAGGACGCATCTGGATGGACGACGTGGCCTGCAAAGGAACGGAGGAGAGCCTCTTCCAGTGCAGCTTCTCCAACTGGGGGAAAACCAACTGCGGGCACGCCGAGGATGCGGGCGTGAAATGCTTGGCGCAGTGAGCAGGCACCACCAAAGGACACACCGTGGATCTGTGGGAACCTCAGGAACTGACCAACACACATACACCTCCCGCCCCCGTGGACATCTTCCGTTCTTCTCTGCTCCCGGAGGAAATGGAGGGCACCTGGGCCTTTTCTGTTTCCCGGGGCTTGCAGTAGGGTGTACTGTAACGCTGCCAGCCCACGCCCCCCGCACCCCTAATTTTATCCCCTTCCCCAAATAATAGCACTCCTCTTTCCACGCGCACCCGAGCAAAGCTTATGGAACGGCCAACCGCTTCCGCCTGCCGCTGTTCTCCGTAGAACGGCTTCTCCTGATACTTTTTATTTTTAATCCGGGGATGCAGATTTTGCCATGGCGAGCCACGTACAACGCCGCGGCCGCCCCAGTGCTGTCGCTCCACAGGGGGCACGAAAGCAGGTGCAACAGAGAGCAGCCGAGCAGCTGTGGATTCCCTCACCTGCCTGCGGAGCAAGCTGCCAACAACAGTGGCTTTCTTAAGCATAAAATAAAATTTAAAAAAAGCATCCGCCACATGCTAGAATCACATAGACTGGACCACCAAGGCGTCCGGTACTGCTGTTCTAAGTCCCTGCAGGGTGTGAAGGGGGGGGGAATTGCCTTAAACACACACACACACACAGAGCGCTCCAGGAACATTCAAGTGGTTGTCTGGTCGTCCCAACCTGAAATTTGTCAAGTTCCGGGTGGTTGGAGATTGGGCCGGTGAGGAGAACCTCACCGAAACTGTTCTCAGCATCGGAAAACAGGGACAGGTAGCAGGAACACAGGTGGAAGCCAGGCTGGAATAGAGGGCATAGCATGCAAGGGAGCAGGATGCAGGATCCGAACCTTTGGCATACAGCAAACCATGGGGGGGGGGCGGCCGCTCCCCACCTGCTGCAGGTAGATCTCTCTGAGGCTTGGAGACAGCACTCCTGTTCCAGGGGAAAAGGGAAAGGCTGTGCTCACCTTGGTGGGCCCCAGGGCACGCAACACCTCACCTGAGCCAGGTGGGTGGTTTGGGGGGGGATGATAGACCGACAGGCAGGCAGGTGGGCTTAAACCTTTTTCTCCCCTCTTTTTCAAGTAACCACTTGTGGATCTGTATACGGCTACTCTCAGGCGTTACATCCTTTCTCCTCCTTTGCTAGAGAGAGGTGGCGCATCTTCTGGATGACGACCCTTTCCCAGAAGCCAGCTTTAAGCCGGTTTAGGGCTCTTTCTGCTGCGCTACCCCTGAAAGGGTTTCTTGTAGGAATAAACATGCTTTTTTTCCACATTTGGCTTCCTGTTTGCATGGATTCACTCTGGACAGCTCAGGGAGGGTTCAACACAGCCCTCTGGTAATGGATGGAGTGCAATTCGATGGGCATTTAACCCGCTGTTTGGTCGGCTTCAGGCTGCTTTGTTCCTTTGTTCCCACGGGAAGTGGTCGCTAGAGTGCACCAGAGCATTCGTTCATACAAACCAAAGCAAGCTTGAGGTTGTCAAAGCTCCTTCTGTTGTCAGTTTCCCATATCGTGAAGTGACTTAAAAAGAGAATTACTTAAAGACCCTGGATATCTTAAAGATTCAGCCAAGAACCTCCCTGCAGCTGAATCCTCCAACAGCAGGCAGATTCTTGATTGAATCTTTAAGGCAAGTCAGAAAAGAGGTGGGGGGGAAATGCCCTTCGTTGAATCCTCCTTCTTCCTGTTTCCAGGAGGAAGTTTTCGATTTTTTAAATAAGCATTGCAGTGCATCTATGCTGCCATAATACAGACTTAAACATTTGGGGTGTGTGTGTGTGTATTTCCTTTATCTTGAAGTCATTCTGTTCCTAAGCCACCATCACGATATGGGGAAATGACAGGAAGGAGCCAGACCTAGGGGGGGGGGCACTTGAAGCACACACGCCGTTGAGATGCCAGGATCAAATCCGATGGCATAACCGGCTCTCTGAGCGACCCAGCTTAGCCCCACTCCAGCTTGCTCCAACGGAGACCCTGCAGGCAGTCCCAGAATCTTTCTTGCGCTGCAACTGCCCAAATGCCTCAGCCCCCGTGGTCACTTGCCCTCTTGGCACGCACGATGGAGCTCACTGGGTCCATGGTTCAAACATACATTTTTTTTTATTCTACACTACGCTCCCCCGACGGCCCTGTCTCTCATGCCGACTCTCACCCGTCGGTCCACCCTTATCGGGTGCTGCTCTCGAACTCGGAGTGGGTCAGATCACTGTGGGTCTCATATTGGCTCCGGTGGCCGTGGTGGCCGTGGTGGTGGTGGTGGTGGTGACGACACCGGCACTCCCCATGGCTGCGATGGTGCCGGTGACTCCGGCGGGCTTTCCCCTCAGGGAAGGCGGCCGCTTGGATGGCGTCCGCCACTGCCATGGCTCTCCGGGCTTGGGCGCAATCGTGCTCGGCCTCAGCCGCCTGCTGGTAGGCCAGGGTGGCGATTCTGGAGACGTAAGACAAGAGGTGCTCCTCACGGGCCTGGGCGGCTTCGGCCGACTCTAGCGCTTCCTCGGCCTTCATCTGGGCCTCCAAGCTCTCCTTCTTGGCCTCGGCGGCCTCGATCTTGGCGTGGACCACCTCCAGTTTGGCCTGGATAGTTTCCGTCAGGGCCTTGGTTGTCTCTTTCCGGGATTCGGGGTCCTTGTACCTCTGGAAAGAAGTCGGAAGTAAGAGGTGATGCTCCGGAGAGGACCTCTCGCCCGGGAGGAACTTTTTCCTCACGAGGAGCTGCCTTCTGGATGGCCGCTTTTCCGCCCTCTCCGCCCGAGGGTGGAAAAGAAGCCGTGCTTGGAAAAGCAAATCCTCCAGTCCGGCTTCTTTCGTAGCTCGTGACTTTGGAAGATCGAAACAAATTTCTTCCACCATCCTTACGGGGCCGTTCAAAAAACGCTTGACCAGAATGGGAGAAGAGGATCTGCTTCAGACCTTGCGAATGGCCACCGGCGGCTTTCTCTCCCCTTGCAATTCCATTTGGATCCCGAATCTGGATCCCCAAGGGGTGGTTGGACTACGACTCTCGGATCCGCCGCTGCCCTCCAGTGAGATGAAGTCTCACAGCATGTGAGGTCCCGAACTTGGGAGCCACGGATCTCAAATCTGCCCTTCAGGGATCCAGGAATTGCACTGGACCCCCGGAAACTTTTGGGGGAGAGGGAGGGAGTACCCCCAAATGTCGGGAGGGGGTGGCAGCAAAAGCCAATGCCTGGGTCAGAGCCTTTGCATTCTGGTGCTTGCAGTTTAAGGGGCGGTCAAGGGTGCAGGTTGCTAGGGCTGTTCGTACAGTATTTCAGTTTAACTTTGGGGTGGACGAAATGCATGTACACACAAACACCTTGCACCACCCAGGTGCTGTGGCACTAAGCTCTGGGCATTCCTCCCCATGGTCTAGCTCATTCATTGGGTCCTGAGGGCCTCTATGTCTGCTACACTGAATGTGTGTGTGTGTGCAAGCCACACAGTTGTGGGGGGCGAGGGGGCGTAGCCCGGTTCAGACCACTCACCAGTTCCTCCCGTACTTCCTTCAGGAAGGCGACTTCGGTCAAGAGGGATCCAATTTCAGTCAGGAGCTTTTCCTTTGCCCTAGGAGGAAAGAAAGAGGATAGAAAACGTGTGAGGAAAGGGGGGGGGTCCATTATTCGGCAGAGACCCACCCCTTCGGGAGTTCATATCCTCTCATCACTGACCTCTTGCAGTCCTCCACGTTGTTATATTTTCCTGTAAAGCAGAAGAAGAAAGACCCATCATTCAAAACCTTTCTCTTCCTCAACTAAAGCCACTGATGGCGAAAAGTGGCTTCGCCAAGGCTGGCTACCGTCGGACCCCCGTATCCAACGCAGGGGATCCATTCCAAGCCTAAACCCGCAGATGCTGAAAAACATGGATTAAAGAGAACGCTATAAATGGCGGAAAAGTGGCTTCGCCAAGGCTGGCTACCGTCGGACCCCCGTATCCAACGCAGGGGATCCATTCCAAGCCTAAACCCGCAGATGCTGAAAAACATGGATTATAGAGAACGCTATAAATGGCATGAACTCTGGCCTCCTCTATCGGTCCATTCTGAGAACTTCATCGTTAGAAATATATTTCGGCGGTTTTTCTTTTAATATTTTTAATATTTTCAGACCGTGGAAAAGTGAATCAGCGGTTCCTGATCCTGAGGATAAGGCGGTCCTATTATACTGGTGTTAAGCAATGTTAGTACGGACACTGTTCTCTGGCAGAGTAGGGAAAGTCAAGGTCATTACCTTCCACCAAAGATGATAAACACCAACTATTTGTGGGTTTGGCTCATCCCACAAATGATTAATAATTCTTATAGGTTTTTCGGTTGTTTGGCCATGTTCTGGAGGTTATTCTTCCTAACGTCTCATCAGTCTCTGTGGCCCGCATCTTCAGAGGACAGGAGACAAAACTCTGCCTGTGTTCTGTTGTAGTGTGTGGGAAAGTTGAGTATTTGTAGCTGTGGGGTCAGCTTTTTGTCCTTTTCAGGTGATTATGGTGATCAGGGTGAGTCGAACTCTACCCAGCCACAAGGACTGGTGATCACTGCACACAAAAGACTAGCTAACGATACTCATCAATCACAATGACAAATCATCTCTCCCTTATCACAACAATACACTCACAACAAAAAACATCCTGATCACCATAATCACCCAGTCTACTGAAAAGGACAAAAAGTTGATCTCACAGCTACAAATATTCAACTACCCCACAAACTACACCAGAACACAGACAGATCCGTCCTTCTGAAGGGGTTGGCCAGAGAGATGGGTGAAACGTTAGGAAGAACAACGTCCAGAACACAGCCACACAACCTGAAAAACCTACAACAACCATTGGATCCCGGCTGTGAAAGCCTTTGAAAATACTGTATATTAATGGTTAGCTTGCACGCTAGAAGAGAGACACTGACAAAGATGGTCTTCATTTTCCCACCTGGGGCAACGAAACTACAACGAAAATGTTTGGACAATACTTATTTAGTTTTTAAAGGTTTTTAAAACATTAAAGGGGTTTGTTCAAACACACACACACACACCACTCTCACAAATGTTTCACAACCATGTGCCCTGCAGTGAAAGATGCAACCACCAGAAATTTCGTAATCTCCATGAGGAGAAAAAAATGGAATTTTAAAAAATACATATTTTAATTGAATTTTTTCTACTTTTCTGTCCGTTGCAGCCAGAGTGATTTATTACAATGTGTTCCATTCATTTCATCTTGTCTTACACTCTCTAGCCTAATATTAATCTATTCTGTTTGATTTAAATCAGTGTAGATTTTATTCAGGTCTAAAGAGGTTCCCATTTATTACTATCCAGTCTATCATTTAGTGTATCTGTCAAAATAGCCATTTCTGCTCGTTCCAAAGTCTTCTCAATAAATTCCTCCTTGGTCGGCGCCTCTGTAGTCTTCCACTTACTGGTATGGACAATTCTAGCTGCCGTTATCAGGTTTAAAGTCAGGTAAGTCTTGTTGATTTTTTTCGAGTGTAGCTGGTAATATATTCAATAAGAAGATTTCTGGTGTCAAAGCAATTTTAACCCTTAAAATTTTCTTTGTCATTTCATGAATCATTTTCCAAAAGTCCTTGGCCTTATGGAATGTCCACCACATAGGATAGAAGCTCCCTACTTTCTTTTCACATTTCCAATACTTATTAAAACATTTTATACATTTTTGTTAATTTCTTTGGTGTCACATACTATCTGTAAAACATTTTATACATTTTTGTTAATTTCTCTTGTGTCACTATCTGTAAAACATTTTGTATATATTTTCTTTGGAAGACAGTTAAGGCACAACATTATAGAAAGATGCCATTATGGGTATACAGTGGTGCCTCGCTAGACAATGATAATCCGTTCCACTGAAATCGCTGTTTAGCGAAATCATCGTCTAGCAAGAAGCATTTCCCCATTGGAATGCATTGAAACCTGTTTAATGCATTCCAATGGGGAAGAATCGTCATTGTCTACTGAAGATCGGCCATAGGAAAGCTGCTTTGCGAACTGCCGATCACCTCTTTAAATCCCTGTCTTGTGAAGCTTAGGGACCGAAAACACCCATTTTGCTAGCATGGAGGGAGCTGTCAAAATTGTTGTCTAGCGAAAATCGGTTTGCGAAGCAGGGACCAAACATTGTCCAGCGAAATTCCCCCATAAGAATCACTGTTTTGCGAATCGCTATAGTGATCGCAAAAAGTCAATGTCATGTGGGGGTAACTGTCTAGCGAGGCACCACTGTAGCTCCATTTGAAGCATTCTCTGATCAGGCAAGAACATCTCAAGGGACAAACGGGAGATATGCCGAGATATTAGATAGTGATTTTAATCTAAAGACTAAAGATGGACTGGCAGAACAAGGTATGATCTTAGATAGTTGGTCGATAAACTTGTTGAAATCAAGATATGTGAAAGATAAAGCTACAGGGTTTCAGAAAGATAAAATACCTTTGGATAAGGGGTTGCCGGGCTCAGAGGAAAAATTGATTAAAGGTTTATATAATACTTTAATGTAGCAAAAAAAATGGAAGATGAAATTGTGAAGGATTGCATGGTAAAATGGGCTCAAACTATAGGTCATAATATAGAACGGCTGAGTGCCTGGTCACAAATTTGGGAACAAAATATTAAAATGACTAAATCTATAAAAATTGGAAATTTTCATTCTACTCTGTGAAAGTAAAACGGGCGAAGATGTCCAGCTCTGCCTTGAGGTGGAAACCAGTGAGTTCCTTTTAGAGCCTGATTCAGCATGATTTCACCAGCTTATAACTCCAGCCGTTCTGCAGTAGCTAAAGCTTCTGGGTCGTCTTCAAGGGCAGCCCCAGGCACGGTGCATTACAGTAATCAGACCAGAAGCTTCACACACGATGAACCGTTCTGGCCGGATGGTCCGGGCCCAGGAAGATTTGCAAGTCTGGCCGGATGGTCCGGGGTCCAGGAAGATTTGCAAATAAATGGTGAACTTTGCCGTCTGACACCTCCCCTCCTCCCAGGAAAACCCTCCCAGATAATGAGCAGAGATGGGAAATGTTTCTCTTTTGGACTACAATTCCCAGAACCCCCCCCCCCCCTCTGAGTTGCAATCTAAAAATTCAATGTTTCCCATCTTTAATAATGAGGGAGGACTTTTGACTTCTTCTGGAGAGTGTCTTGTTTGGTGGGTCCAGAAAAAATAAGAGAGGGTTGGGGGGTGGCTTACCTTTATTCAGCTGCTTCAAGAAGAACACCTGCAAGAGAAAACCCAATTCTTACCTTTAGATTCTACCTGTTGCACACTTCCAGAAAGCCTCCTGCATAACCTGAAAATCCAATTCCATCTTCTGCTCCCCTGATAGCGGGCGGCTGGATTCCCTGTCCTCCTTTAATTTAATTTTTGCTCATTTTCAATAGGGATCTGATATCCTTACAGTGCTGGCTCAGCAGTCTTACATGGCTAGCATTCTAGTCTGGAGCCTGGGATGTAAAATTGTGGCTTCAAACACCCACCCAAGGGCAGATCCACGCACCCACAACGTGAAACCGGTTGGCGTTGAGAGCCAACGGCCTTACTTTCTGCCTTGCCGTGCTTTCACCGACAGCATCAAGAGAGTTGGGTGGACGCTTCCTCAAATCATTCCCCTTGGGGAAAAGCTCCTAATTTTCCCTACTCAAACCCAGCCTGAACTTCCTCTGTTCTTCTGCTCACACGTCTTAACATCAGTAGCAACCACAGGTCTCTCGGGGCTAAAGTATATGAAACGCCAGCTTCCAAGTTAGAAGGGGATAAGACATTAGCTCCCCCGAGCATCACCTTGCAAATGACAGCTGCTGTTCATGTCTCAATGATAATCACCACACCAAAGAAACAGAAGCCAGTGCTCCGCTTGCAGAGCTGCAGGAACATAATCGGGGACTCATTAATTAGCAGCTATCGGCTGCACTCACACTGCATCTAAATATTGAACCAGACTCTGGCAGGTGAACCTATTTTGAGGATCAAGTTCAGCTCCTGGATAGCTCCTGCGAAGTGCAGAGTCAGACCCAACTCCAGAGCGGATTCACAGCCACCATCCCTGAAACGGGAACTGCCAGTAAGGGTGGTGGTGGGGGTTTCAGGAGCTACCCCAGAGCGACAGGGCCTCTCCGTGGGGTGGCCTCACCCTAACACGACAAGACCACGGATCGGCAAATGTTAGGAATAAAGGTGAGCGAAAGAGATGTGCCCCCCCCAGGAGGACTGCTACGGTTCTTGTTGCGGCCGCTGTTACGGCACAGGCAACACACAGGGCGTTTTGTTGACTGTCAGACCAAAGACAGGTCCCTGCCCCAAAGAACATACAAACTAAAACACAGCACAAGTGCAGCAAGAGAAAGAGGAGGAAGAAAGTGGAGAAGAGGGAGTGTTCAGCTGAGCTCCACAGACCTCGTTGCTGGAAAGGAACAGGGAAAAGGGTTGGGGGGGTCTTAAGCCAATATAACTTACCGCATTTTTCAGCTGCTGGTTTTCTGCCAAAGCCTTCTTTAGCTGAAAGGCAACCGAGGAAAGACAGAGTAACTGGTTAGGGGCATCCAAAGGCTTCTGCTTTTTCCCCGGTACATATTTTCCCTGATTTTTTACTGGGAAATGTGAATGTTTTGTTGCGAAATCTCTGGTGCCCCCTTTCCCCATTCGTCCTGGCGCTGAGCATCCCTCCACAAAACCCTCTTCGGAGGGACGGACTGTGTATCAGGCAGGCACCCCCTGGCACGCTGGGTTCAAGAACACGGCCTTCCCACAACCAGTGAGACCTTCACAAGGCGGAGAGGAACAGCGTTTGCAGGAAGGCCAAGCCGTGAAATGGCCAGGATCAAAAAGGTGGTCTGTTCGCCAAGAGAGGACACGGGGGGGGGGCAAGGCCTCCTGGGCTGCTAGGCTAGTCTGCAACAAAGGTTTTGGGGAAAAGACCTTTTTTGGGACTACAACTCCCAGCGGCCACGCTTTGTGGGGAACTATGAGAGTTGTTGCATGTAGCAGGATTGTGTCCTAAACCTGTAAGAGTGGAGGAGGAACACTCCATGATTCTGGGACAGACAAACACACAAAACACACAACACAAACACACACTTTGAAGAACACCTCAACCTCCATCTTTTAAAAAATATATACTATATATTGCTCCTTCCTACCCACCCACCCCGGACACTTCAAGTTTTTTAAAAAATGCCCCTCCCAGAACTAAAACAGTGCGGGCAACCCCCAAAATGTTTGCATACATCGACACACAGACACCAAATACAAGAAATTATAACAAATGGGGATGCAACTCACCAGGCTCTCCATCTTTAGAGTTCTTTCCCTGGAAGAGAGAATTTGAGGTGCTTAAAGGGGCCAGGAGACAAGGATCCGTTGACTCCCTCTCCTTTTCTGAGGCTCCCCTTGTTCAGTTATTGTATCTGCCTTTAAGAACCTCTACACAACCTCTGAGCACATATACTCTATGGGGTTTTGCCAAAAAAATGTGGACACCGAAGCCCTACGAGTCATAGAGCTCAATTCGGCTATCCATGGGTGCTACTTTGCAGTGGTCAATTCTTGGGTGAGTAAAATCCTAGAATCCTAGCATGATGGAGTCGGAAGGGGCCCATGAAGCCCTCGAGTGAGTCCCACCCGCTGCTCAAGGCAAGCATCCAAATCAAAGCAGATCTGTCAGTGGTTGTCTACATTACTCTTGAATGCCTCTCCTGTTGGAGGGCTCACCACCTCTCGAGGTAACGGGTTCCACTGTTGTACAGTTCTAACACTTTGGATGCTTTTCCTGATATTCAATTGAAATTTGGCTTCCTGTGACTTGAGCCCATTGTTACGTGTCCTGCACTCTGGGAGGACGGAGAAAGACCCTTCCCCTCCTCTGTATGACAGCCTTTCAAGTATTTGAAAAGTGTTAACCTCTCTCCCCTCCATCTTCTTTTCTCAAGGCTCAACATGCCCAGTTATTTCGGTCTTTCCTCCTCGGGTATGGTCTCCAGTTCCTTAATCGTCCTTGTCGGTTTCCCCCCTTGAAGGGGGGTGTCCAGAACTGGGCACAAGACTCAAGGTGAAGCCTCACCAGTGCTGAATAAAGGGGGACTAGCACCTCTCAGGATTTGAAGCCTACACTTTTGTTAATGCAGCCTAAAATTGCATTGGCCTTTTTCGCAGCCCCATCACATGGTTGGCTCATATTTAGCTTGTGATCTACGACAATTCCAAGATCCTTCTCGCTTCTACCCTGTTTCCCCTAAAATAAGACCTAACCTGAAAATAAGCTCTAGTATGATTTTTCAGGATGCTCGTAATATAAGCCCTAACCCAAAAATGAGCCCCAGTTAAGGGAAACCCTGCCCTCCACCACTGTGCAGCAACCAGAATAAGATGGCATGATTTTATTTGAATAAACATAGATTGTTGTACATGAAAAAAAAATCCCCTGAAAATAAGCCCCAATTATTTTTGGAGCAAAAATTAATATAAGACCCTGTCTTATTTTTGGGAGAATAGGGTAGTATTTCTGAGCCAGGCAACCTCCGTATTGTAACAATGCATTTGGTTTCTTTTTTTTTCTTTTTTTTAAGGTACAGTACTTTGCATTTATCTCTCCCAAATAAGATGTTCCTTACTGGAAGAGCTGTGCTGTCCAGTCTGGGTCTGGTTTGGGGAATTAAAAAGAAAAAAGAATGGGCAAACGGAGAGACAGCAGAGTTCTTGAAGTTGCCCAAGGATCACCCATCAAAAATTCTGGCTCAAGCTCCTTCCCCAGGCTGCAGTTTCCCCTGATGGTTGATGTCTCTGGATGTGTTTCTCTGTGTGTAATTTGGCACATGCAATTTTACACAAATGTGCGTTTCAAACATGGGTTATTTTTATACGCAGCTACGTCCTCTTTTTAGTGATGATCCTGAGGCCTATGAGGAAAGCCTGAAAGAACTGGGCAAGTTTAGCTTTGAGAAAAGAGTGAGGGGAGACAGGGTCACACCCTCCAAAGACTTGAAAGGCTGCCCTCCAGAGGAGGGGCAGGATCTGTTCTCGATCATCCCAGAGTGCAGGGCAGGCAACCATGGGCTCATGTTACAGTAAGCCAGAATTAGGCTTTATATCAGGAAAAAAAACTTCTTAACTTTTAGAGCAGTAAGACAATAGAACCAATGACCTTGGGAAGTGTTGGATGGTCAATTGGGCTCATGTTACAGTAAGCCAGAATTAGCCTTTATATCAGGAAAAAAATTCTTAACTTTTAGAGCAGTTAATTGAACCAATGACCTTGGGAAGTGTTGAATGGTCAACGTTGGAGGCCTTCAAGAGAAAATGGGACTACTGTACTACATGTCAGATGTGCTTCCGTTTGATTCCCGCCTTGAGCAGGAGCTTGGACTCGATGGCTTTAGAGGCCCCTTCCAACTCCAGTATTCTATTATTGTATGGGTTCCCTCTTTCTTGGTGATGTATGAACAATCACCTGTAGCTCCCTGGAGTGCTCCTGAAACAGGCAGTGCCAAAGGCAACCACTATCCTGTTCGACTGGCCACTTACATACTGTATTTTTCCCGTGTATAAGACGCCCCCCAACTTTTCTAACCCAAAATTTCTTTCTTTGCAAGAAAGTGGAGGGGGAAGGCAGGGATCAAAGCGCTTTGATCCCTTCCCCCTTCCTTACTACCGTGTATAAAACAACCCTTAATTTTTCCTCTAATTATTTTAGGAAAAAGTGTCATTTTTATACAAAGAAAAATACGGTAATTTCCAACATGGAAGCAGCTGTCACAACATAAAGAGACCCTGTTGCCACTTCACTTGCATCACTCCTTACGGGATCAGTCATGCAGAAAGGCTTCCCTACATCAGTGGTCCCCAACCTTGGGCCTCCAGATGTTCTTGGATTTCAAAAATCCTGACTAGCAGAGGCTGTGGTGAAGGCTTCTGGGAGTTGTAGTCCAAGAACGTCTGGAGTCCCAAAGTTGTGGACCAATGGACTAGGCGCAGTGGTCCCCAACCTCGGGCCTCCAGATGTTCTTGGACTTCAACTCCCAAAAATCCTGGCTAGCAGAGGTTGTGGTGAAGGCTTCTGGGAGTTGTAGTCCAAGAACATCTGGAGCCCCAAGGTTGGGGACCACTGCCCTACATGCCTCTTGCTGCCCAGGTGCTAAACTGAATAGGATACTGGCCAACAAGAAACCAGGCGTTCTTAGGTGGTGCGATCCTCAGTTCTAGAATGGGTCACGCCTGCTGTTCCCCTGGCCCCTTCGTTGGGGGATTTTAAAGAAGCAACTGAAGAACTGGCTCTTCCGCAGGGTTTTCAAACCATGCCACCTACAGAGCCTACTTAAACTGCTGCTAACAACCCATAATGACACTTGATTACCTCCAATTTAAATGTACCAATGACCTTGGAATGTATTTTAAATCATTTGATTACTATTATAATGCCCTCCCCCCCCACCATTGAGTTATTGCTATGATTTTATGTTTTTCTAATTTATTGCCATTTTATGTTGTGAACTGCCCAGAGTGGCCCGCGGCCAGATGAGTGGTCTACAAACTGAATGAATGAATGAATGAATTTAAAATAGTAACTTTGGGGACCATGTGTGCTTATTAATTTATTGACCCGTAGGAGAAATGCTAATACAGAAAACATCAAAAACGATCTTTAAAACTATGAGTAGCAGCAAATACCCCCCTCCAAAATTTATTGTGATACCAAAGGCTTGCAAACTTATTTTGGCATAATTTCCACGAACCCTAGCACTCAGCATTGGGCAAAGCGGGCCAGAGTATATAAAAATTAGGTCCGATAAACCTTGTCAGGGTGCAATCAGATGGCAGGAAAGGACTGCCTCTGATGGTTCTGGAAAGGGTCACTTTGCTGGCTGCAGTCTCCCTTACTAGGACCTCTCTGTCCATCCAGGAACTGCTTTGTCCCGTCCCCCCAAAAGAATAACCCTAAAGGTCCCATTTAGGCATGGATCCGTGTTAAGTTTATGATTCGTTCTACATAGCAATGGTGCTTTGCTCACTTTCTTCTTCTGAGCATAGAGGTGCATTTTCAGGTTGTCTGGAAAAAAAAGCAGGTGGCAGCTTGAGATGCCCAGCACGGCTCTGCTCCTGGGTCACATTTTTAGACTGCCAAATTTCTTCAAGGCTCATCCCAGAAAATCTTCTATTCATGGATCAGCTAATTGCTAACCTCCTTTTGTGATGTTTATATGTGAATCTGGGTGTTTCCAGTTTTGTCTCTCCTGCTCTTTTTTAAAAAAACACATTCAGGCACTCCTTTTGGATAATTAACATTTGGAAGCCTAGGGCATGCTTGTCAACATTTCACACACCGCAGACCGGAGGCCCTGCTTTTGAGCCGCCTCAGGTGGGAGAATCACGTGCATCGCCTTGAGCTTATTTGAGGAAAGGTGGGATGTGGAAGTAACCAGCATGGAACGTGCCCCAGATCCTGTGACCTCAATCCATATGGTACACTGGCTGGATAGCACCCTGGCTGCGGAGACAGAGGTTGGGAGGATGATTCCCCACTGTGCATCTCCTGACTTGCAAGTATTCGCTACTGAAAAAGACCGAAATTGCTGAGCATGTTTAGCCTTTAGAAAAGAAGACTTGGAGAGAGGAGAGCACTTTTCACATATGTGAGAGGCCACCCTACAGAGGAGGGGCAAGATCTATCCTCCATCCTCCCAGAGTACAGAACATTTAATAATGGGCTCAAGCGACAGGAAGCCAGATTTCGGTTGAATATCAGGAAAAGCTTTCTAACTGTTAGAGCAGTACGACAGTGGAACCCATGACCTCAGGGGGAGGTGGTGAGCGCTCCAACGCTGGAGGCCTTCAAGAGAAAATGGGACCACCGTCTGTTGGGTCTGCTCTGATTGGGACTCCTGCCTTGAGCAGGGGGTTGGACTGGATGGCCTTATGGGGCCCCTTCCAATTCTATGATTCTAGCTGGAAAACTCTGTAATGGGTTGCCATACATAAGAATTGACTTGACAGCATGTTATTCTTCTGGTTGTTATAAATCTCCACCAAAAAAGAGCCACTGCATTCTTTTGGGAGTTCAGACTTAACTTGCATGGATTCAGTGCTCCAGATGGGGCTACGTACCCCTTAGCTTTGGGCTTATGGCTCGTCTCCACCTGCCTTCCAGACACTCACCTTTCTGTACTCTTCTCACTTCCACTACAGCTCTCTTGCTCTTTGCTTATGCAGCCCATCTCTGGATTTGGCTTCCTTTCCATGCCCTGAAGAAGAAGAAGAAGAAAAAAAAGGAAATAGCATCCAACATGAAAGAAAATCATTTCTGGATCTGCTCCATAGACAAAATGGTGCTTCTTTCCATGTTTTCGTGAGACTTAGGTGTCTCTGTTGATCATGGCTCTGGTGAAAAGTGATACGAAGAACCTGCCCATCTCAGCTGACAAGAATTCTTTCCCTCCATCTTTTTTTTGAGTCACTAGCCAGTTAAAGTCAGTATGCATTTAGCTATGCAGCTATAAATCAGTTAAGCTCTGTTTACATAATTTTCTACAATATGCTGTTTTTGGTCTGTTACAAACCGTGAGTTAATGGAGCCTTTTATTCTTTCTCTTAACAGTGTCCCTGAGTGAGTTTATTGGGACTGTAAGTGCCAGTTGATGAGAATAAATAACAATGGGGTGGATTATTCTGGGGACACCTGAAGCTAATTCTTCCCTAGGTCCCAGGACCTTTCCCCCGCTGTGTTGTTAGAGATTTCCAATCCAAAATTTCACACTCTGCCAACATGTTCATCCAGCGGCTGACTAGGAATCCCTAGATCATTTTCACACACACCCCTGGCATGCCAGATGCCACCCACATGCAATGTACACTTCTGATTTTTTTTCTTGCCTCGGTGCAGAACTTCACATGTCTATCTGTTGAAATGTGGGGATAATTCTGTGTACTTGGTGAAGGTATATTAGTTTTCAGAAAGTGGAGATCATTGGACTGCTAACATGTCAAATAAACCCATAAACAAATGAATATTCAACTTTCCACTGATCGACTTATGCAAGAAGTGAAGATTTCATTATGTGGTTAAGGCAGAATGTTTTCCCCTTGACTCCTGGTAAGGATTGTCTGATTCAAGGAAAAAACTGCTCCATCAGAAAGCTGTTACAGACTTCATTTTTTGCAGCGGCTACAGCCCTGTTTCTGACAGATGTTGACATGTTATTGTGGAGTCAGAGTCTTGTTTAAGTTTTGTTTCTTGGACAACTGTTTTTCCTGGCCTGCATTTCCCTCCACATCACGCTGTGAACAAGATAATAAATCCACTTGAAGATTGTTTAAGAGCATCCCAGGGGAGCGACAAAGAGATGTTTTTCGGTGACACTTGTTTTCGAGAATTCTGTGATGTTGAGTTTCCTAGCCTGGATGCCAACCTCCTCTCCAGAACGGAGAGAATATGAACCCCACGAGGATTCCTCCATTTGCTTCTTCCAGTGTTAGGATTACAGGATAATCAGGTACTGAAAAAAGAACTGTGTATAGATTCATCTAGGCAACACACTTGGCACCTATACAGAAGACACGTCCACTCAAATGGTGTTAGGCCTAGCCCATGCTTTTCCTCGCCTCTGTATCTTGCATTTAGTGTGCTTAGCTTTGGGACTGGAGATTGGCAGGTAACCATGGGCTTAATTTACAAGTTTGATTGCTGAAACATCTTTCAGGAATTCCTGCTAGCAGAAGGTTAATCAGAGAAAATAGTCATTCACCTTAACATCCAGTTTGATCCTCACTAGCCGGGAAGACAAGGAAAAATGCAGCACAAGGCGATTTGATTACAACACTATTCTTTGTTTTTTATAATGTTCCTTATAGACAACTTTCTAATGTTCCTTCTAGACAACTTTCTAAGCTTATATTTTGTAATATACGTTGTGCTTAACCTTACTTAGGCTTTAAATGTGCTTTATACCTTATCTCACCGAGGTGCATCTCTGAGTTCATAATCTGTACATATCTATATCATTTATGTTGTTGTTTAGTTGTTAAGTCGTGTCCGACTCTTCGTGACCCTATGGACCAGAGCACGCCAGGCCCTCCTGTCTTCCACTGCCTCCCGGAGTTGGGTCAATTTCATGTTGGTCGCTTCGATGACCCTGTCCAACCATCTCGTCCTCTGTCATCCCCTTCTCCTCTTGCCTTCACACTTTCCCAACACTGCGGTCTTTTCCAGAGAGTCTTCTCTTCTCATAGACTTGGAGCCTCAGCTTCAGGATCTGTCCTTCCAGTGAGCCCTCAGGGTTGATTTCCTTCAGAATGGATAGGTTTGTTCTCCTTGCAGTCCAGGGGACTCTCAAGAGTCTCTTCCAGCACCACAATTAGAGAGCATCAATTCTTCGGCGGTCAGTCTTCTTTATGGTCCAGCTCTCACTTCCATACATCACTACTGGAAAAACTATAGCTTTGACTATGCGGACTTTTGTTGGCAAGGTGATGTCTCTGCTTTTTAAGATGCTGTCAAGGTTTGTCATTGCTTTCCTCCCAAGAAGCAGGTGTCTTTTAAATTTGTGGCTGCTGTCCCCATCTGCAGTGATCAGGGTGCCCAAGAAAGTAAAATCTGTCACTGTCTCATTTATACTTAATCCTAAATGTGTAACCTGTGCTTTCAAACTCCTAAATTCAACTCCATAGGTTTAAATCCAAAAACAGGACACTTCCTACAGTCCAAGCCAAGAAAAGTGGAATACCCCTTATCCATCAGAGAAAAACAAATGACTGTAGGAACACAGATACAATTTTTTAAAAAAGTACAAAACCACAAGAAGAGCGCGAAGCTTGCCTTGAGACTGAATTTGCTTTCGTCGGGCGAAATGCAAATAGGGGTGAAGAAGGTGCACGAGACAAAACATGGTTGGGAGGTGCATCCGCGGAGGGAGCGGTGCCGGGAAGCCGAGGAAGTGCGGGAAAAGTCTTCATAGCTCTTGTAAGGGATCATTGGGCGAAGAGCATCTTTGATCCAAAACGGGACTTCCTGAGTGGGATGCAGGTGGTAGTTGGTCGCCGTAGCAACCCTCCCGAGATGCTGGAGCCCCAGCATTCTAGATGCATTGGTTGTGGTGGAATCTGATCTCCTTCAAAGGGGAGCGCGCCCAGACGGATAAATTCCAAAAGACAAAAGTGGAAGGAGAACGCAGAGCTTCAAGATGCAAGCTTTCATCGTATTTAATGAGGATGGAGCTGCTGGATGGCTCCGTGGTTGAGGTCTGTGGTTGTGGAGCCACAGGGCTGGGAGTTCGATTCCCCCTCAGGGCCTCCTTGACAGGAGCCGGAAATATCTTTGTGACCCTTTGCAGTGTTTCGTTCCCTGTTCCAGCAGGTGCTTTTTGACACAGGAAAAAAACACACACACATATATATAATATATATTATTATCCCCCACTTTCTCTGCACTGGGATTGGGGGCTGGGCTAGAGTTTAGAAAATCTGGGTTCAAACTGGCGATGGATGGCAATGGTAAATCGCTTCTCGAGCATCTCATGTTATCTTGAAGACCCTGACCCCCTTAGTGTCGCTGGAAGTTGGAACTGACTTTCTGGCCCAGCATGGGGGCGGAAGAAAAGGAGGGGGAGAGGAACCTTCTCATTATAACAATCGAGGCCAGTGGGGTCCGGTCATCCAGACAAGACAGGTGAAAGAAGGGAGGACGCCTTCAGAAGGTGCAGAGTTAGGCTGTGGAATTCCATGCCACAAGATGCAGCAGTAGCTGCTAATGTGAATGGTGTTAAAGGGGAATTAGATAAATCCCCAGAGATCTGGGCCAGCAAAGGCAACTAGTCCAGCTGTCTGCCTGTCTGACATCTGTTGTTATTGTTGTTTAGTCGTTAAGTCGTGTCCGACTCTTCGTGACCCCATGGACCAGAGCACGCCAGACCCTCCTGTTCTCCACTGCCTCCCGGAGTTTGGTCATCTTCTGTAACAGACGCTGAATGCTTCCCTTCATCAGTTGCTGGAGAAATACAAGTTATGTCCTCCACGGCCTCCCGGAGTTTGGTCATCTTCTGTAAAAGAGGCTGAATGCTTCTCTTCATCAGTTCCTGGAGAAATACAACTTTTCAGAGAGTGTTTTTCTCAGGAGCTTCCAGAGGCCACTCTGAAGTGGGTGCCGAGAGCCTAGCAGGCATCCTTCAGTCTCGAGAGATGAGGGTCACGTGCTCTATATGGAGGACTTGGAACAGCATCTAGTGTGGCTGAGAAGGCCAATTCGAGAGTGACAATCCCTTCCACACTGAAGACAAATACAATCTGTCCCCTGTCCAGCTCCCTGATTTTGCTGCTTTCGTGACTGCCTCTTTGCCTCGGCCTGCTGGACAAGGGTCTCTTCAAATTGGGAGAGGCCGTGATGCACCGCCTGCCTCCAGGCTGAACGCTCAGATGTCAAGGGTTCCCATCTGTTGAGATCCATTCCTAAGGCCTTCAGATCCCACTTGCAGATGTCCTTGTATCGCAGTTGTGGTCTCCCTCTGGGGTGCTTTCCCTGCACTAATTCTCCATCCAGGAGATCTTTTGGAATCCGACCGTCAGCCATTCTCACGACATGCCCGAGCCAACGGCGCTCTTTCAGTAATGTGTGCCAAGAACAGACCAATAGTAAATAGTGAAAACTTTAGTTCTCTCTCTTACTAATGTCTCAGAGTGAGTTACTGCGAAAGTTAATGAGATAAAAAGGGTGAGCTAATCTGGGCAAGTTAAAGCTATTCTGCCCTGCACTTCTGCATCTTTGAGATGCAAAGAAATGACCCAAAAACGGACCTATGCACAGTGAAGGTAAATGAATTTCACTGCAGGAAGAGAAAGCAGTCTCACAGCCTAGAATAAAGAAATACATTTGTTTGGAGAACTTCAGTAAAATTGAAATAGCAAGGGGGGAAACATCCCTAAATCCAAGCATCCTAAATGAGACACTCAAATTTCATTGAACAATTAAGAGCCCCGTTTCTTGTTTCTTCTCCGACCGTGTGATTTCCTCTTAAGCGCAAGCCTGAGCCATTAGACTTGTACAATACTTACCTTCCAGTAACCAATCTCAAGGAAAGGTAATTAAAATGCAGGACACAGAGTAAAAGCATCTGCCGTGACAAGCAAACATCTTTCGTGCTTAAAGAAGTCCTCCTCCTAACATTGCACTAACTGTATTGTCCAGGTCGACCCTCTAAATTGGATTCAGCGAAACAAATATTCTGGTTTTGTGAGTTGAGTTCCAATTACGATCTGTGGGATTGTCCGCAGTGTCAGGGTACAAATCAGTAACATTCACATATTACTGGATGCTGTATGCTTTGTCACCTTATGGATTATTATTATGGACGAATAAAAAAGCTTATTATTTACAGGCAACGGATACATTGCAAGCCCCTCTTTCTTGTGTGACGGCATTGAACGAGGAAGACGGAAGCTTAGAAGCAAGAGAAAAGAAAAGGGAATATCCTTGAGCACTCACGGTTCAGTTTTTGTGACGAGATCCTCTTTTCGGGCAGATCCACAAAAACTGTTCCGTATCTGGAAATGTGTGTCATCTAATACTCGGGGCCGGCGCTCAGCAACCTGTTCTAACCCTACGCGACATCACAGGACGCATCATAAGGGGAGCAAAGAGGAAAGAAGATATTGTCTCTTGGGGATGGCTGAACATCCTCATTCGTTCATTCGTTCGTTCGCTCTATTTCCTCGAAAGGATCCAAGGTGGCTTACATCATTCCAAAGCCAATATTTCAAAGCTATAAACAGGAAGTGTACAAATAATTAAAAAGAACCGAACAAGTACCATGTTAACAATGGTGAATAAAATTAATACTAAAAATACATTTCAAAGCAACAACACAGCACAAAACCCTTTAAACACCCTGATTGAAGCTTTACATTATGTTCCCATTGTGTTGTGTTGTATTGTAATGATCACAGGCCCATGTGTATGTTGGGGAGAAAACACTGAGATTTTTGTGATAGCATGTAGCATAGATGTTCTAGAAATAAATCCGCCACTCTCCTACATCATCTTACTGCTTCTTCAGCCTCTCCCCCCCCGCCAGGAATTATTCATTAAGGCGAATGAAGGAAAAAAATGCCTTTGGACTCAAGAATTTGGAAAAGTTACTTTGGGGAACTCAGTTCCCTCTAGCCATGCTGACTGGAGGGTGGCGGTAGCTGGATCCAAAAGAGTTACTTGTCCAAGCTTTATTTTGGTGGCTTAGCACTAAGATCCCATTCCCTAGAAACAGACAACTGTGGTTCAAGCAGCCATCCAGATGCCAATACCTACCTACCTACCTACCTACCTACCTACCTACCTACCTCTGTCTGTCTGTCTGTCTGTCTGTCTGTCTGTCTGTCTGTCTGTCTGTCTGTCTGTCTGTCTGTCTGTCTGTCTGTCTGTCTGTCTGTCTGTCTGTCTGTCTGTCTGTCTGTCTGTCTGTCTGTCTGTCTGTCTGTCTGTCTGTCTCAAAGGGAACAAACCCACCCAGCTGCCCACGCACAGAGCCACGCAGGCTGAGCATGGAAACCATAGGAGTGTGGTGTGGTCAGACCCCACAGGTTTCTCCCTCTTGCTCCATCCTCTCCTGCAGCACGCCGATCATGCATGGACCAAACGGGACCCTTAAGGTGGTGAAGACCCAGGTACCCAAACTGCAACATAAACACCTCTGCTCTGGCGAGACTCAGAGCCTTTTCCTACTGCGGCTTATTTAAGGGTGGTTTTCCCACGACATTATATCCATTCATTTCAGAAGTCGCTCTGCAGGTTCTGCGCGCTACCCGTGACTAAATCTGGATCCAAACTGGGCTTGCTGAATAATTTTTAGAGCGAGGTGGGGTGGGAGATTATACCTCACTAACCACCACCAACGTCCTATTGGTAGCAATTGTGGGGTTCCAGCAAAGCCACAGCTGATATTCAGGGAAGCAGGATGTCCAGGAATAGGCCGTTTGGGAGGAAGAAGCAGAGCCCTGGAAGAGGAAAAAAAGAAAATAAGGCATGGCTCAGAATATAAAGTCCGAGGGAAGAAAGCCAGAGTCACTTTATTTCTTTAAAATATTTTTACTCACGTTTCTCCTAAAAAGGACCCTCTCCCAAAAAACAGTTAAAAGACAATATTTAAATCTAAAATCAATAAGTATGCAAATATTACAAAGGAACAAACAAAGACCACTCAGAAATGGTAAATGCACGCAATACGAAAAACACATTCAAAACTGCAATCTATTTAACACACACCAACTCAGGAAACCAGTCACCATGAGAAAGCTTGCCTGAAGAGATAGGTTTTCTTCACCTGCTTGCGGAAGGACAGCCAAGACGGGGACCAGCCTGGCCTCCAGTGGCAGGGAGTTCCACAGTCTAAAGAAGCAGCCACAGAGAAGGACCCTCTCCTGTGTCCCCACCAAAGGTGGTGGGATCGAAAGAAAGGGCTCTCTCAACACCCAGGGAGACACGGTCCTTGAGGTAGCTTGGACCCAAGACGTTTAGGGCTTTGTAGTCCCTTTGAATTTGCCCAGAAATGGATCTGACTTCCCCAGCAGGCCATCTGGTTTGGAAAGAGGACTTGCCTTATAGTTCAGCTAAGGCCAGAACATCCCATCTATTTGACTTGGGCAGATTTATTCCACTCTTTGGTTTCTAAGTCTTAGTGGATGTTTTGCATAGCTTGAAACTCACTTTTTGAAATTGCTGTTTGGTTTTAATTAGGGTTTGGCAAAACCTCTCTCTCTCTCTCTCTCTCTCTTTTTTAACTCCAGTGCCCAGCATCCCCCAGCGACTAAAAGCCTGGGGAATTTTAACCCAAACAGTTTTTCAAGGCTCTTGGCTGTGTTTGTCAGCTGCAACAAAAGTGGCCAGATCCTATGGCATTCAGCAAGCGTTACAAGGTGCAAACTCTGCTCTTAAGGTTACTCTAAACATTAATGAGAAATAAAGTAGGTGGTCCCCCGCTGAAACAGGAGAAGGCAGGATTTCGCTCTGGAAAAGACCCTAAGGCTGGGAAAGGTGGAAGCAGGAGAGGAGGAAGAATGAACATGTACCCTAAGGCTGGGAAAGGTGGAAGCAGGAAAGGAGGAAGAATGAACATGAGATGGACAGACTCCCAAAGGAAGCCACAGGCTTGAGCCGACAAAAGCCGAGCAAGGACTGTTCAGGACAGGAGATTTTGGAGATGGTTCATTCATGGGGCCTCCATAAAAGGGAGGCGATTTGATGGCGCACAACCACGTAGTAAATGTTAGGAAATTAGGACGGTTACTTATATCAGAAAAGGGGTGCATATAAATGTTTGAAATGAATCCATCAATGGTTTTATTTAGTTTTTTTATTTTAAAAAAATTCATTTTCTTGCTTTGCAAAAACACACACATACATTTTCCCTTGTTCTTTGCAAAAAAAAAATCCCTTTTCTGCAAAAAAACCAACAACACATTTTCCCCTTGTTCTCCCGTGGTTTCCACCTTCTGTCGCCTGTAAGCTCCTTGGGGCAGGAGCCTATGTTGCGGCGGCCTGCTGCACGCACGAAGCCCCCATAGATCCACGACCATGTGACTCAGAAACTCGAAGCCGAGCCGGAAGTTCTTCAGTTGTGCGCGACTCTACTCTTTCTATCTCTGTGTTGGGAGGTGTGTGTGTGGGGGGGGTTTGAGAAGCCTGGCCAGAGATGCCAGTGGGCATGCGCAGACGGCTGTCGGCCGCCGGCGCCGCGGTGGCCACGGCAACCGCGTCGGCGACGCCGTTGCCGGGGTAACGGAGGCCGCGGCCCGGCGAGGCCTACACCGGGATGAGCGGCACCGGCTCGGCCGCCGAG